CAGCGCCTGCCCCCCACCCGCTGGCGCCGAGATCCCTCTCCCAGGGACAGGCCCTCCGGCCTGGAGGAAGCCGCGTGAATCCGTGAGCGGTTTCATCCCGGGGGAATTGCCGCCGCCACAGGAGTAACCCTGTCCTTGTCCATGTTGCTTGGCCCGCAGGGAGGTTCTCAACGCCCGGCCTGGTGGCTGCCAACGTTTCCTCGCTGGTCGACCCCTAAAAAGCTTTGAAGGGAAGAGAGGCAATGCATAGAATGCAGTTAAACCCGCCTGCGTAGCGCTTGGCTGTGGGCTGCCCTTCCCGGGCACATCATGAAAGGAAGTTTACCGATTGACTACCACCTGGTATCTGAAACCAGTACTGACCAGAGAGCACGGGCTGCACAGCACCATTCTCCAGCTTCTGGCAGAGCAGACTCCCAGGTCAGTTAACTTCGTTAAGTAGTGCCAACCATCAATTACACACTGGTCATCTTAATACTGAAATCCAAGTTTGTAGCACAGTAACCAAGCCTCCCAGACACATCTAACCAAGGCTGAAGGAAGTCAGCCAGTGCCATTTAATTGGCACAAACGCTATCTGAGACATCCAAATTTCAAACATCTTTACTCTGAGTCTTAAACGTCTGGTTTGCTAAGGGTGAAGGGCGTCTCAAATCATCAGCTGGCATGGTTCACCTGATGTATGTTAGCACAGAGATTCAGCCGCACACCTGAAAAGCACCCGTGGGGGATTTTGTTATGCTAAGGCCGCATGAGGTGGAACTTGAGTAATTATTTATCTCAGAGTTGAATGAGGCTAACAAAAAGAATAATTTATAAGAAGGATTAAAAAAAAAAAACCTATAAATGAATGAAATGATGCAACTGTTGCTTCTTGTATTGAAGCTAGAAACTGTAATCCACAGCAAAAATGGAGGCAAAAGAAAGGGTCAACTCATAAGCCACCTGTTGACTGGAATAAGAATAAAGGGGTGTTTTTACCAGAGAGCTATTATAGGCCCGTCTTTAACACTGTGTTGCTAGGCCAGTCATATCATAGAGGGGGACTATGGCGCTGAACAATGGTAGCTGATTTCCTTCCTGGAAAGGGAGTAGATTCAGATGTTACACTTTGTGCCCCATCTCTGGGTTGGAACAGAGGCATGCTCATTTAAAATTAGCGCTGAGGCTGTGAAAGGGAGCTTGGAAACACAAAGAATTTTTTCTGTCTCTTGATAAGAGAACTGAAATCTCATACAGGTTAGACATACATATGTATGAAGAGACAGTCATTTCCTTTATTTGGATTGACACTTGTGCTCTGTGATGCAGTTCTAAAAATGCATTCCCCCATTCGCTTCTCAATCCAAATTGGGAATTGAGAATGACTCGGCAAAATCGGCATTCTGATTAAAACATGTTTTTCCTTATTAAATGGGGGTACTTTCTGGACACTCAAGACCCAATATTAAACTTCTCTGTGGAAGCAAGTGCACTGAAGTAAGCAGAGCAAGCGAGGAGAGAATCAGCCCCCAAAGCCCTTTAAGGAGGAAGTCTAGATGGATTTAAAATACAAGAAGTGTTTAAAAGTAAGATTAATTTGAAAGAAAAGGTGCCATGTCACAGCTCGTCAGAGACTTGCTCACAGGGCAAAACCTGTATGAACAAGTACCAGGAAGTCAGACAACGTGGAAAAGTTCCAAAACTTAAGGAGACTTACCTGGTGGATTTATTTTAAAAGGACACATTATCAAGTACTCAGGCTCAGCTTGCCCTTTGAAATCCTAATCAGCTTCCACAAACATCCAGGTTTTAAAAGAAAATCCTCTTCCCCATTATATTTAAAACATAAATTTGTCTTTCTTGTAACTTAACACCATAACAGAAATGTTATTTCTACTGAAACCCACAACAGTGCCAGGCTGTAAGCCCACAGTTTGGTAAACTCATCTTCACAGGGCACTCTAGATAAATGTACTGCGTTAAAGCATGGGATTTTCACCTGAAGAGCCAAATGAACAATTATTTCTCTAATGCTGTTTCCAACCACTAGGGAAATTAGGCAGCTAATACAGACTCAGGTGTGAGTGGTTTGCAGTGATAAAGTGTTGCCTCTTTCCTGGATAACACACCTATGGGCTATTACCATTAAGATATTTCAGTACCTGGACAATATCAGCCCACAAATGAAGAGCAGGTGATTAAAGCTGAACCTAAAGGAGCAAATGCTTGTGTTGCTGAGCTGATGGAGATATGAAATGTTTCTAGCTAGATATGGTCTCTGGTAGCTGGGGAGGTGTACTGGAGGGAAGGCTTTTTTGGCTGTATGCTTACCCAGGCTGTCTCGCCTTAGTAAGGTTGTGTATGTTTAAGTTTCTTGATATGTAAATAAAATCTAGGAGCTGCATCTTTTCTCTGTTAGGCTTGTTCTGGGAGCACAGGTCTCTTTTCAAGGTCAGAAGTCTCTGGTCTCGGTGCTTTTTAATCCTGTAACTAATACTGTTTCTCCTTAAGAACAAGGTGATATTTCTGAGAATTAAGCTTTATTTCCACCCCAATGTCTGAAAACAGAAAAACATATAAGACTGGCAGAGATTTTTAAAATATTCACTCTTTAATTGGTATACCCAAATTGGAAAAAAAAAAAATCATTGAAGTTTCCTACTTTATTTTTTCCCTGCGTCTAAGGTATTTATTGGAATCAGGAGAGGATCTTTTCATTCCCTTTGACCTAGTAGCTTTGATATTAAAAGAGGAAGAGGTGAGGGAAAGTCTAAAATAGCTACTGAGAGATACTTCCTTTTAAAGCTTTCTGCTGCCTGTCTTCTTTGGCCTGCTAGGCTGTCCTGTCCAAATCTCTTTCTGGTTAACCTATTATTTCTTTACCATCCAGAAGTTCTAACTTAAAAACTCATTTGCCTTGGATAGTAGCTAGTGAGTGTCTTGCGTTCCAGTTGTCACAGAGGTTATCAACATTTAGCCAACATTTGCTGTTGGTGTTGCCATTGCCTCCTGTAACTTGAATCCACCAGGAACATAAAAAGACAATATGCTTAAAAGAAATGATTCATACTTTTAAGATAGTGCTATCATTCTGAGACAGAATACATATCAAGCTCTAGTGAAGTAGACAATAGAAACCATATAAAAAAAAATCTCTAAATAGGCAAAGTACATATGCAAAGCCAACCCATTTGAACTGCAGAGCAGCATCTAGAGTTCAACAATGTTGCTGAATCCCCACATTACAACATCCGTGAGAAGTATTTGCTGCCATCACAGTTTTCTGGTGGATGATGACCTGGTCTCAATTCATCATGTATTTCATCAGCACTTGGATGGACACAGGAACACCCTGCAAAATTCAGAACAGTGTGGTGTCTCCTGTAGGTTGCATTCCCAAATGTACCTTTCACTTGCTTCCTACAGAACTGCAAATCTGATATGGGATCCTATGTTGCCTCCAAAGTGGTTCAGACCTGTACCTGCACTAAAAGACTAAATTTCTAGTGGATTGGGTGAAAGTGCCAGAGCTGAAGCAGGAGAAGATTTTGGTAGTGAATAACTGTTGGGGGAGAAAAAAATAGGTTTAGTAGACTTAAAGAAGAGAACCATGAGGCTGTAGACATGGCTGATGTGTATAATGAATAGAGAAAGGGGAACCTTTGGAGAGAGCTAGAAGTAAGCAAGAAAAGGAAGATTAAAGAATTATAAAAAAAAATACAGAAGTGATCATGAAACCTTGAATAGGGTATTACTAAGGATAAGCATTAATCTGAACAATCTTAATAGGTCTGTGAGTGAAACTGTATTTCTGTGTGCTAGTTGACTTCCGTGTGTGAGCTACAGATACAGGTAAATAACAGGTTAGCTCAGTCCTATGCTCCAAGTGGGGAGAAGATCTGAATGGATAGAAGGGAGTTTATAAGATTGCCTTTTCTATATTTTCCCTTCCAGAGTCCTATAGTTTTCTTGCATTAGTAGCTGATAGATACAGTCACGAGTCTACTTTTATCTCTTCTTCCATGAAGTAAGTCCACCAATTAATTTAGAAAATAAAT